ATTCATAGTTGGACAGTACGGGCGTTTTGATATATGTTCACATGATCGTTTGTGATTGTATGCAGTTACGTCGAGCTCACAGGATATAGTGCTATGATGGGCACCTTGTTCCGTGATCCAAAGGAAGGAGATCCAGATAGACAAACCATTGCTCTCACCAAGATCGTCTGCGGCCCGTCTGAATCACACCTGGTCATGCTTCAGCTAGAAACGTACTTCATACCACACACAAACACATTTACACATGCTTTGCTTCCACCGTGTACCGTGGTATTCTTTCATGTATCTTTGCCCTCTAATAGACACGTTTGTCGCTCTTCTCCTGCAGTCCTGCCCAGTTTAATGATCGTGTGTCTCAAATATGTCTTCCTCCTGAGCGCTACATCGTGCCAGAGGGGACCGTCTGTGAAATTGCTGGTTGGGGAGAAACAAAAGGTGATAAAAAATAAATTGCTGTTCTACTGAACTTTTTATTCATCAAATGTATCACCGTTTCCACAGAAATGTTAAGCAGCACAACTGTTTCTTGAGCAGCAAATCATCATATTAGAATGATTTCTGAAGGATCATGTGACACTGAAGACTGGAGTAATGATGCTGATTCAGCTTTGATCAAAGAAATAAATTAAAATTTTAAATATATTACAATAGAAAACAGTTATTTAAAATTGTAATAATATTTGATAGTGCAAATGTTTGTTCAGCAGAGAGGTAATATACCTCTGAAAATGTTTATTCTTATTCACATTTTTCCAAAGTAGGAAGCTCGAAATTCTGACTTTATGAAATTCTGAAGAACTGAATTGAAGACAATATTAACATCATGTAATTGGCTGGGATGTTTTCGTTTTGTGCATCATTTTCACTCTCATTGTGCACAAAAAATGCTAGAAATGCGTAGCATCCGGTTAGATGTAAAATCTGACGCTGAAAATACAGTTTTTTGGATCTCTATCTACCCACCCATCCAGTTATGCATCCTTTCCTTCCCACCATTGATCTTCTCTTCTTCTCTCTCTCAGGAAAGGGGGATGAAACTGTTCTGAATGTGGCTCAGATGCCCGTACTGAGCAATAAAGACTGTAACCCATATTTCAAGGGTCGTGTCCGTGAGAATGAGATGTGCACCATGCCGTTCCAGGCTGGAGTGGGCGCCTGTGAGGTACTGGTGTGCTGACCTGTTGTTTGTGCTGTGCTTTTATGCCTTTTAACACCATATAAGTTAAAGTCTGCATGAAACAGAAGTTGCGATAGTCTTTTCCTCCCTATTACGACGCATATCAGAGTGAGACGGCATCTGGAACAAGAACAAATGTTCTTGGAAAGCTCGAAAAGGGCGGGGCTTGATTTTGATAATGGGGAATTGATTGGATGGTTGTGGTTTGCTATTGGTGGATCTCATGTGAGTGACAGGTTGCCCCGCCCTCGTCATCAGAGAAGAGAAGAGATGAGCTGCAAGAGGAGGACAAGTTATTTTAATTAAAGATTACGAGGCACATGAATTTAAAAAAATTATGATGTTTGCGGATAAATCATTTATAATAAATACTGCAATATTCTAGCCTGGGAAAACCCAGACAACTTCCGGCAAATTTAGATTTGCTCTGAAAGTTAGTCTGGCAAAGAGCTCATTCAAGCCCATTTCCAATCCGTCGAAATCGAGGCACCAATCAGAAACGTTGGGGCGGGCTTTACACAATGACGACAGCGCTGGGATTTTGAAGCAGATTTTGTAGCCTACATTACAAAGATGGATACCGCCGTCGAACATCACTCGTTCCAATCAGCTATCGCGTCTGTTTTAAGCCATTTGAACGTTTCCTTTTAGTTAAAAACCGAGCAAAGAACAACACTCGGAGATGTTTCTCCGCCGCTCTGCATACGTCATCTCCTTCATCGCTCTGATTGGGTTTAGGTCTATCCGCGACGTCCGTTGGTGACGCCCCTCTGGAAATGATTTGTCTATGATGCTTTGCCAGACCATAACTCAGTTACAACTGAGAATGGTCTGGTTTTAACCAGGCTCGCAATATTCCATAAAAAAACAGATTTGTCAATTCTAAATTCATGGTGATTTTAAAGTCCCCGTGAAGTGGAAGTTGCAAACGACTTTTCTCCAGTGTTGTGACGTGTTTCCGAGAGAAACGGAACACTAAATGAGGCAAAATGGTGGGCGTGGCTTTTTTTCTAACTAGCACCTGATTGGATCTAGAAAAGTAGGTGTTGTCATTCAGCCTGTCTACTGTCAGTTGGAGGGGCGTGGTTACGGATGTTAAGCAGAACCCAAACCGTCAAACCCACGTCATCAGGGAAGGTCCTCCAATGCAGAGGGGAGGGGAAATTTCAGATTTTGATTAAAGATTACAAAGCCCAAAATTTTTTTTGTGTGGATTGACTTGCATGGATGAATTGTTCACCACAAAACGATCAATTTAGGCAAACAAAGTAAGTATGGTCAATTTTGAATTTATGGGGACTTTAAGAATCACTACAATGAAAGCATTGCTATATAATTTGAGAACAAATATGACTTGATGTGAGTTGTGATTGATGTGTAAAGACCAGTGCTTCTCAAATGTCTGTTCTGACATGAAAAAAGCAGTGCTAAATGCAAATAATAAGATGCAACTGCACACATAATCATTCATAGTTATTAAATAAATAAGCTTTTTTTTTTTTTTGTAGAAATGCATCCCATATTATTCGTTGTTGATATTAAAGGCTGTGTGTCTAATCAAATTTAATTCTATTCTTATATTTTACTCAGTATTTTGATAAATTCATCAGTCTTTTGGTAGAAAATTTGGTGGTTTTTTATTTTTATTCATTTTAAGCATTTTTGTATGATAAACATGTAAAATCTGTGTCTTAAAGTAAAACTACCACTGATCTAGATGCCGCTTAGCTTGCAAAAAATCTTGCAAAATGTGTGTTTAAAAGTGAAGCATTTAGTGCTTCAAACATTTCCTTTCTATACGTTTGTGCGGCTACACGAGTTTCAAGTTCAATAGATGTAAGTGTGGATTGTGAAATGAGTAAGATGTGCCGTGTGCAGGTGCACTGTAACAGTCCTCTTTTTCACTTTCAGAGAGACTACGGTGGCCCTCTGGCCTGTCAGAACAGCGACTGTTGGGTTCTAGAGGGAGTCATCATACCCATGCGCCGCTGCGGACACTCAGGACAGCCAAACATCTTCATCCGTGTGTCTGTTTATGTGGATTGGATTAAGAAGGTCATGGAGATGACCTAGCTGACAGACCAGCTCATAACACAACACAACACAACACACACATGACAGCAGCATGACTTTACAAGACATTTCACACTGCCTCATCTTCAAAAATATAAATATATTAAGTAGATGGAATGTAATATACTTAAAAATGTGTTTTTATAAGATTATGTAAGCATTTTTGTATCGTTCTGAATTTGGGGGTTTAATTGACATTAAGATTTATGCTTGCAATTGTGGAACATATGAATATACAGGTGCACATAAATTTACATTAAAACTGACATCACCAGTCTGAACTATACTGAACTTTGTAGAATTTATTATTAATAAAGTATTCAAAATTCTGTTTTTACCCTCCAACATTCATCTAATGTCGTCCCACAGAATTATGATTAGTAATTATTAATCCCAGTAATTTACTGCAGTTGTTACTGTATATATAGGATCCTTTTAAAGGGTTAGTTAACCCCAAAAATTGTAATTATCCCATAATTTCTCAAGCCATTCCAGTTGTAAATGACTTTCTTCTTTCAACCTAACACAATTGGAGTTATATTAAATAATATCCTGGTTCTTCCAAGATAATGGGAGTGAATAGTGCCCGAGTTTTTGAAGCTCCAAAAAGTGCATCCATCAATCATAAAAGTAATCCCATATGGCTCCAGGGGGTTAATAAATGCCTTCTGGAGTGTTTTTGTAAGAAAATATCCATATTTATAACTTTATAATCACTGGCTTCCAGTTACGCAACGGTTTTCATGTGACTTTGTTTGGAACTTTTTTCGTTGAAGAAGCAAAACCAGACAATATGTGTCTAAAATGTAAATTACTTGTTAACTTAGTTTATTTAACTGTATTATAATATCAATATCACATTTGCAAAATGCTTTTTAGGGACAAAAAGCACTTGCTTGTGTTATAGCTTATTGCTTAACTATCGTTATATAAAAATCAGGAACTCATTATTAAGGCATTTTTTCCCCCCATAACTTCATTTTTTGGGAATTTTTGTTCATTTTGATGGCATTATTCAGCTTGTCCGAGCTGGTGTGATTGAGTAGAGGCGGGGCTAATTAGCATATTCATGATGATGCGCATATAGAGTTACACTCGAGCTATTTTAGGCATAGATTAATTCTTTTCACAGGGGGAAAAACGACTCGTTTTGGTTATCAAAGATGATCAATTATTGACTGCAGGGGGACTTCATTTATATTGCATTATTGTTTGTCAATAAATAGGCTACCCAAATTATATTATATTGTTTTATATGGTATCATCATGTTTTTTTTTTTTCATTAATACCGATATGTGAATTTCAGGATAGGCCTATAATGATTAAAACACAATCAAACAGAATCTATCTACTTCATAGTAATACCATGGCACTTTTAGGGACTTTTGCTAGTGCTTTCTCATTCTTCTGCTAATGACTAATTTTTGTTTTCTTGAAATACTTATTTAGGAGAAGGAAAAAAAACCTGATTACTCATTCCTTTACGCTATATGGTCTTGACATCACAGTAGCAAACGGCTAATATTCTTGTAAACTGGTGGTAACATTGTCGGAAGTTTGGCAGCTGCATTTAAATGGATTTTTATCATATGGGCGTCATGCTTGTGACGCGATGCCACAGACTGTCCAATCAAAACAGCTGCCTATGCGGCAAGAAAACGCGACGCGACGTCAGCATCCAAGAAAGGAAGCGATTTAGCCTGACATGAAAGATGCCATTACAAACAGCAAAAGAAGAACTGCATAGCCTTGGCTAGAAGAACGAAGACGAGCTAAAAGAAGCGTGGCGCTTCATTTCAGTTCTGAGAGAATGATTGACGTGAGGAGGGGCGGGGCCAGAAATGATGTCAATCATGTTATGTTGACGTACAGACTCGCGGTCTCATCACACGCGACGCCGCTGCTCCAGGTGAACGCTGAACGCAGAGTGCTGAGGACAACGTAAACAAGGTAAAGTGCTCTACACTAAATGTCAACTTATGACTTTTTTTTTTACAAGTCAGTTTTGTTAATGTTGCTATCTGTTGTTATCTGTTAATGTTGTGTTGTTATCTGGTGATGGTATCTGAATATCTCAGATTTCAAATGCAATTTAATTGTTTTTAATATAGCCATGCTACAAAAGGACAGTACTGTACTTTTGGCACCTTTTTTTAATTAAGAAATAGACGTTAATTAAGAAATCGAATAAAAAATACATTAAAACAACTTTTTAGGCATATACCATAGCTAACATGTTATTCTTCAGAGTACCCTGGAACCCTGGAGTGCCATATAAATACCATGGTAAATTTCAATGCTATGGTATGAAAGTATGCCTGTGATACTATACCATGGTGCCACAGCCATAGTACGTTTTGTAAAAGAAGTGTACAGTATCAGAAAGTAGTTTGTTGAATGCCATTCATGGTACACCAAAATATACCATACCATATTGATCTACCATGGTATTTGCATCTTTATAGAATACTAAAGAATTACCATGGTATATGCCCAAAAATGTCATTGCATCTAAAAAACAACAACATTGTACATGATATTTTGTCCTCAAAAACATGGTAATCCCATGGTACCTGTAGTTACTTTGTTTTGTTACCTCTGTTGTTGTGTTTATCTCTGACGTGCTTCTGTTCTGTGGCCGCTGAAGTTGAAGTGTCTGTAATAATATTCTGTCTCCCTCTTTAAATGTTGCTAGGCTGTGTTTGGATCCTTAGGACACCGCAAAGCGTGCTCGTTTTAAGCTGTAGTTCACGACCGACAGCTACATTTTTCTGTAGGTCTGAAAGTATGTGAAAAATGTGGGCTGTCGTAATTGCCCACCATATGGAAAAATATTTTAAAGACCACTGAAAACTCACTGAATAGCTAGTGTACCATTCGCTTCCATTCCAGATCTTTTTTTATTTATGTATAGACCCTAATTTTTTACTATTTTATTTTTGATGTGTTGGTATATGTTCAAAAACACATGATAAACAAAAAAATGTGGCACTACTATGGTACATTTGGGTACTTTTTTATTAGTGTGTTCTCCCTGATACAAAAAGTACCTTATTATTACCACAAAATATGCAAGGAAAAAACATGTTTTTCGTCATCTACCACGATGGGAATTCTTTGAAGTTCCTTACATTGACTTTTAAATACTGTTGCATATGAACATGCTAATCAAACAGTTCAATAGCACATGGTACTATTTTAGTAAAGCTTATTAGGTTTTCTTATTAGGAGTCACTGAGACATAGTTTATGGTGTATAGCGGTTAGTTATATATGCATGAGAGGAACATGGAAAGTTATATTTCATGTGAATAGATGCCATTGAACAGCCTCCTAGAGGATCCCTCTCTGCCAGCAGGGGTTAAATAAGCTGTCATTGATGAAATGCATGTGTATATACATTCACGGCCAATAAATGACATATGATCATATGAACGTGTAGCTGTAGGATGAAGAGTCTACAGTGAATATGATGATATTGACTAGTAAATACTGAACACCTGAAATTACTCTTGTGTTTTCTTAGGTTAACATATATATATATATATATAAAGAGAGAGAGAGAGACTTTATTTTTGTGGAATATCACATTCTCACGCACCAAGTTGTTACTGTTAAAACTATGACTAATGTCTGTGTCATTGTAGGAATGAGATGATGTCAGAGCAGCAGGGACTATAGAAGATGAGAAGTTGATTATGAGACAGAGATTTTTGTCCAAATATAAAGTGACCGTATTAAACTAATGGCAGTGCGTGACTAACGAGGACAAAGCGTAAAGTTATGATGCATGGTTATGATTTAACCTCTCACGCATCAAACCACTATGATTTTTATTTAGCTTAACTATTTTTTAGTTAAGTAGTTTGCCTGTTTTCAATTTAGGTGCAAGTATGATAAAAAAAAAAATTAAACATATGGTCAAATATTTGCTAGTTTCATGTCTTTTTAATTTCCTTTCACATAATGAAATAACTTAAACTCAAATCAATATTTCATATCTATTAATGTATTTATTTAGTAAGTAGCCATGTTATAAGTTGGGTAATGTGCAGTAGTATATGTAAAATGAAGACCTCTCCTCCTCACTTTATTTTGCAATACATTCCAGCTGACTGTACAAATGGTTGGCTTTTACACTAATTGTAGGCTCTTTCTACATCCATCAAATTGTCCATTAACCATATCTCTCTCCATTTCTTCCTGTGTCCACTCAAGTCTCGTTTAGATTGTGTGTGTCCATGCATGTGTGAGGTGTTCTGGGGTCAGGATGGACGTGGAGGAGACCGATGCAGGTCAGATGGAGACAGTGGCCCCAGAAGAAGAGCCACCAGCTCCCAAACGCAGCAGAGGACGACCTCGCAAACAACCACAGGTCAGAGAGATGCAATGATGGATGGAGGGATGGATGGATACTAAATAAATTGAGTTAAACCAAGTGAATTGATTCCCTCAGGAGCCTGTTGAGCCCTCAGCTCCTAAGAGGCCGAGAGGAAGACCAAGAGGCAGTAAAAATAAAGGCCAGCGGGTCACAGCTAAAGTAAGACAACTTGCTGGAGTGCACTTCCACTTAAGCTCACTGATTCTTCTTCAGACATATAACATGCGCTCTCTTTCCTTCATCTGCTTTTGGATGCAGCTTGAGCCACTGAGAGAACGAAGACCTCGAGGTAGACCACGAAAATGGGTGAGAATCAGTTGATTAACTCAAGTTGATTAACTCAAATATAACAGAATTTACATTCTTGTACAAATACTTTTTTAAGCTTTCAGCATTCACAAATGGTCTGGATTGACTAGTAGAGTATGTCTCCTTTATCATACTCTTTCAAAAGAGTAAAGGAAATTCTTTTATCAATAATATGACCCATTTTAATATGAAATCAAACATTACCCTATTTACTTGATTAGATATTAATGTTACGTGCACATGATTCCTTTATTCTTTCTTGTTAAATATCCTGTGTCACTGTTTATGTGTTGAGTTGGCAGAAATGTATTTGTTTCTCACCTTTTCTCTCTAATTTATAGCCTCAGAAGACCATTCCTCAGGAAGAACAGCAGGTAAAAAACAACATATATATGCTTATAATATATATATATATATATATATATATATATATATATATGCTTATTATCAATGTTGAAAACAGTTGTGCTGCTTCATATTTTTGTGGATACATTTTTTTCTGGATTTTTTGATGAATAGAAAGTTCACAAGAACAGAATTTATTTGAAATAGAAATATTTTTTGAAACATTATGTTTTTGCTGTCACTTTAATGCGTCAATTTAATGCATCCTTGCCGAATAAAAGTATTAATTTCTTTCAAAAAATAATTGTCGTTTAACGAAGAAAGAGACATTTAATTGCTTGTCTACAGTTACAATGCTCACATTACAAGAATACAAGTGTTCATAGAAATGTTTTTCACTAATTTAAAGTGGGAAAGACTCGAATTAATAATGAAACTCGATTAGTCGAGTCGATTATTTTCATTATCCGTCATATTGATTCGTTTTCTGCAACCCATAAAGAACAAAATTAATATCATCCTATCCGTTAAACACTTAACCTGATAAACATGTCAATCAGTGACTGTCAAAAGTACAGTTCTTTTTGAAGTGAAACCCAGATATGGGTTCAGAAACCGTTTAGAAACTCCCCGTTACTCAAACAATTCACAGGTTAGAACAGAACTAAATGACTCAGTGCGTTTAAGGGAAATCCAGTATAGCTCCTTACATTTCTTGGTTTCCTGTCCCAACTGTCGTGATTCTCAGGTCACGCACACACATTCCTCATGTGTTCTCTTTCCCCTGCACCTAGACTGGTGAAGGGGCGGAGTCAACAGAAGACCCGCCCACTCAGACTCCGCCTGCTGCGTTGACATCACAGGAGAGCGACTAGAACTACCTCACTGATGATGACTTTGATACTTCATCAGGGGTAACTCTCCATCTAATCTGCCTTCATGTACACTGTAAAAAATGAAAACGTGCCAGTGCTCAAATTGCGCCCAAACCGGAGGGCTCAAAATCAGACATGCATGCCCTACCCTTACTACATTTCTAATTTCAAAAGGTACCCTAAAATCTATAATAATCACCCATCTTTTTATTTTATTTTTTATTTAGCAGACGCTTTTATCCAAAGCGACTCACATTGACTTACATTCTTTATTGTGGACACCTGTCAGCAATTTACACTGCCATTTTATCTTTTCATTTATCATCATTTATCATGGATTCTTAAAGTCAACAAGAATTTAAATTTGAACTGGTTTGCTTTCTTAAAACACGTTTTTGCGCACAATGTTGGTGGCCAGACACCGTAGTATGTCTTAAAGCCCGTTCACACCAAGAGCAATGACTATAATGATAACCTTATTAGCGTCCACACCAGCAGACGATATTGTTCTGTTTATTATTATCTGCAGTTCTGCCAATTTAATGCTCCAGCTCTTTAAAGCAGGATGGATTCTGATTGGCTGTCAATGTTTTTATCGTTCATCAGCTGAAAGGAAAATAGTCGTGGTGTGAACTAAATCTTTATTTTTATCATTATAGTTATTGTCCTTGGTGTGAACTGGGCTTTTATCACTTCAAAATGACAACAAAAAAACATGAACTTGTTTTGTTCAAGACATTTATTTAATGTTCAGGATCTTGGGATTTAAAAATCAGTGCACCACAAAATCATCTCGGTGTATGGATGATGCCTGATGATGGGTTATATTAAGTTTGTTTAATCATGTACTTCTCAGGATTCTGGAAACAACATATTACCGAAGCTTGAAATTACTCATCATTTTAATGTTGAAACATTTTTAATGATTGATCTTTTAATGTATAATTTCTTTGGGTAACACTTTACAATAAGGTTCATTAGTTAACAACCTTAGTTAACATGAACTAAGCATAAACAATACATCTATAGCATTCATTAATCTTAGTTAATATTAATTTCAGCATTTATTAATACATTATTCAAATCAAAGGTTGTATTTGTTAACATTAGTTGATGCACTGTGAACTAACATGAACAAACAATGAACGACTGTATTAACAAAGATGAATAAATGCTGCAACAAATGTATTGCTCATTGTTAGTTCATGCATTAACTAATGAACCTTATTGTAAAGTGTTACCTTTTATTGTTTTAGTTTAATGTTTACAGTGGAATGAATAGATTCTATCGTGTCTGTTTACACCAAACAGAAATGATGACTTCATCAGTGATGTAAATGTTCAACAACAATCATTATACTTGTAATTCAGTACCTCAACACCAGAAACCTCAGTGAATTTGTTTGCTCACTCTACACAATGGGTCATTTGTTACAGCGAAATGCATATATTGTCAATGCAGACTTTGGAACAACAGTATATAATTTTGGCTCTATATTTTCACAATTAGCTTTTTTTTTATCGTCCAATCTAATTTGTACTGCTCTGAACTGTGTTATTGCGCTGATATCATGGGGGTTATGTTTACAACATGACTGATGTTTAAAGCGTCTCCCATTGACAATACAGTTCATATACTGTAAAATGCTCTTAAAACAGGTACAAATGGTTCTTAAAATTAATTTCAAGAAAGAACTTTTTCTTATGAGGAATTGTTTTATTTGAAGTCAACCAAGCATTGTTCAAAGGCATCATGGTATATAGTGAAGTTTAGTCATTTGCGTATTAAACATTTGACAACGTGCCTCATAAATACAGCCTCAGGTAACTTCCTTACCTCTTTTCTACATTCCTCAAAGGCCAGTAATGCTGTTTGTGCAGTCGTATGTTCATGAATAAAGTTACTTATGATCCAACAGTTATTGTCTTTATTGCATTAACCAAAAATGATTCCCTAGTTTCCAAGAACACACATGCACGTGTCATAGTGTAAATATCCTTTTTATTATGTCCTTCATTGTCATAAAAGTTAAAAACTTCTTTAAAATGATCTACCGCTGGTTTGTGGTGCACAGAGGATTATTACATCTACACACACACACACACACACACAAAGGTAAATCTTGTGTAATCAGTCAATCTGTGACAGAACATTTGTGTTTCAATGAACTGAAACAGTACGCTCATATCACATGGAAGATCTTTATAATACTGTCTCACTGATGTCATGTCTGACAGTTCATCACAATTGAAATGAAACAAGTGTAACTTTAAAGCTGAGCTTCTCTTCATGGGAAAGTTCATGTATTTCTTTGTAGTAAACACATCAATTCACAGAATGCTTCCAGCTGTGAATAAATAATAAATCGTGTGGTTCTCTCATTCACCAAACTTATAGATTTCTCACAGACAAAAGTTGCATTTGGATTCCCTTCTTAAAAATAAATAATCCGCATAACTGGTTATTTGATCAGTCGTTCAGATTCAAGTAACACAGTGAGCCTCATCCAGTGTTTCTAAAACCACTGTTTGCTAAATTGTCGCATTATGCAGCAATTTATGACAAAATGGTTTAACAAAAGATTTACAGAGACATTCGTTTTGCTCATGTTTCATGAATGAGGCTCAAAATGATTCTTATTACACTAGAGATTATCTATGATAATAAAGTCCCTGTTGCATGAGTGTTCATAACAGTTGGACAGATGCAGAGGACGTTTGTGTTGAAGTACTTGTCTTTTTTGCAGTTTTTTAATCGCGTATCCTTAAAATGCATATTGTCTTATTCGTCAGTGCACACCGTAAAAAAATATTCATGTCATTGTGTGTTTGTTACACTAACTTCTGTCATTTGCACTGTTGGGTTATACTAAATGCTTATATAATTCAAATCAAAGTGGTCAAAAATGTAATGATCTCAGTGCTGCAGATTGTAACTTTGGCTTAGCAATTATTCATTAAAAAGGCAGCAGTTAACCCAAATTTTTTTACAGTGTACTATACTGTACCAAATGTCAATGCAAATATTCCTGAATCCCAGTGTGTCCAGTTGTCCAGATTTGGTGTCGCTTTGTTCCCGTGCAGCCTGCAAAGTGTCGTCATGCATTAATGGCATCGGCCACGTCAGTGAAAACAAGTCGACTGGGTTTTTGGGTTGTTCCCTGACTTGTGGTCAGTGTCTGTGGCGGGAAACAGAGAGTGAAAGTAAGTAAATATCATACGACATCGACGGAAGAACATTATAGAATAGAATTAATAATACACATTTAAACCTAGTTCTACAGTGTAATATTTCACAAATATCAATTCGCAAATTGTAATGAATTGTATTGACAGTATGAGAATGAGTAATGAGCCAGAACACAAATGGACGAGTGTTTAAAGGTGGATTCAGTCACAGCTGCTGTTTGATGACCATTAATAGTGATATTAAATGGACTAATGGTAAAAAAATATATACATATTTACAGTGATGGATACTTTACCACAAATAACAAACCATATGGCCTTGTGTCAGAACTTAAGAGAAATGAGAATGTAGAAACTGAAATTAAGATATAGCATTTAATAACATGGTAGAAATTATTTGTTAAAGATACACCATGTTGTCTGTCTATCTATCTATAATTGTACCATTCTATCTATCTATCTATCTATCTATCTATCTATCTATCTATCTATCTATCTATCTATCTATCTATCTATCTATCTATCTATCATCTATCATCCATCATTCTATCATTGTACCATTATATCTATCTATCTATCTATCTCTCTATCTATCTATCTATCTATCTATCATCTATCTATACATCATCCATCATTCTATCATTGTACCATTATATCTATCTATCATCCATCATTTTATCATTGTACCATTATATCTATCTATCTATCTATCTATCTATCTATCTATCTATCTATCTATATATCATCCATCATTCTATCATTGTACCATTCTCTCTATCTATCTATCTATCTGTCATCCATCATTCTATCATTGTACCATTATATCTATCTATCATCCATCATTCTATCATTGTACCATTATATCTATCTATCATCTATCTATCTATCTATCTATCTATCTATCTATCTATCTATCTATCTATCTATCTATCATTGTACCATTACATCCATCCATCCATCCATCCATCCATCCATCCATCCATCCATCCATCCATCCATCCATCCATCCATCCATCCATCCATCCATCCATCCATCCATCCATCCATCCATCCATCCATACATCCATCCATCCATCCATCCATCCATCCATACATACATACATACATACATACATACATACATACATATACACACACACACACACACACACACACATACATACACATACATACATACCGGTACATACATACATACTTACTTACTTACTTACTTATTTTAAAAATCAGCAATGTATGCCCTAACAATTCTTATATTATTTGATGGTATGTTTTTGTCTGCTTCGGCCCGTGTGGTGTTGAACTCTTACTTTGGAGTTTGGTCCTGCTGGGCTTCCGTCTCGTCCGTGGTCCAAGAGTTCCTGCTCTAGATCATCCTGTTCTTCAGCTGGATCAAAGTTATACATGGGCATCAGCTGGTGTCTCAGTTTCTCCAGCCTAGAGAAAAACACAACACAGCTTCTATATGGGCAACATTTTCACAGCCTCGTATTAAATATTCACTGTGTAGAACCTTCCATTTTCAAGGCTGAAGTGGAGCGAGACAGGAATGCAAATATTCTTACCTCTTCTTTTTCCGGATGTACAGAAGCTGGTAAGGAAAATGAAAAATAAATAAATGTAAGATACAAGTGTTACATAAATTCACATATTACATTCTAAATCAATTAAAACAAACAGAATGATAGCATAAAAGACTAATTAATTTCATCACCAAAGAGAGTGTTACATTTTAAATGTGTATATCTGCTTAATTTTGTCAACTTTTAGAAGTACACAAGCATATACAATACCGGTCAAAAGTTTAGGGTCGGTAAGATTTTTTTATGTTTTTGAAAGAAGTCTCTTATGCTCACTATGGCTGCATTTATTCGATCAAAAATGATAATAAACTGTTTTCTGTTTGACTGTATTTTAAAATGTATCTTATTCCTGTGATGCAAAGCTGTCCTCAGTGTCACATGACCCTGCCTAACATGTTTGTGGAATCCATGATTTATTTTCCTCACCACAACAACAGCCAGCCCAATGACTGTGATGATGCCGAAGGGTACAAGCACCATTCCCATCCCAGCGCCTTCCACCGACGCCACGGGCAGCTGCGTGGAGTTCAGGCCCGTCCCGTTGGCGGACCACGTGATCCTAGACGTGATGTTCTCCGGCTCAGTTCTGGGCTCTCCGGAGCTTGTGGGAGCAGGAATGAAGGTGGTGAGGGGGAGGGTGGGGGCTGGGAATGGGGTCAGGGTTTGGGTTTGGGTGGACGTCAACAACTGGGGTTTGGTGGTGGTCAGAGACATGGTTGTTGCAGGACGCCGGCGTGGAGGCGAGCCGAGTGTGTTTACTGGGATTCGATCCTCCAATGGGCGGCAGCCATGAGGCGCTCACGGTGTTCCTGAACTCCTGCAGGAACCCTGTGGAGGAACATCATTTAATGTTGGATCGAATTTGGCTTTGTTCTGAAACATGGTGAGAGTTAACAAACTGCCTACATAGGGTCCATGGAAAAAAACTAGAAAAACAGAAGAAAATGAATATAAGTATTTTATGTTTGTATTTCATATTTTTGTTCTTTCATTTTGACATGGTTTCATTCTTCTTTCAAAAGACTGGTTGAAAATAATGGGGTTAATCACATTGTTTAATTCAATTGATAGCCGTAGATTTGTTTCTTTTCAGGTTTATTTACATTAAAAATATTCTACTGGTGTGTAATAAAAAAGAAACAATCTAACCTAATAGAAACATAAATGTTCTCCAGATAATATTTTACACACTTAATTATATTTTTATTTTTAACGGTATAAATTTATACGTGAAAACAGCTGCTTTTTGTACTTTAGTAAGGGGTCCCTCATCATATTTGGCATAAATAGCATTACTTACATGAAGCAAGCAAACAATTGATTCCACTATCATATACCGTTTACAGTCTAAACTACAAAACAGTCTAAAAAAATACAATTTTTTATATATATATTTCAGAACTGATTGAAAAGTTTGTGGTCAAAATTGTTTACTTTTTTTTTAAAAAAGAAGTCTCTTCAATGCTGCATTTATTTGTTAGAAATACAGTAAAAACCGCAATGTTGTGAAATAATATTGCAATTTAATATTCAGTCTTCTGTTTGAATATATTGAAAAATGTAATTTATTCCTGTGACCAAAGCTGAATTTTCAGCATCATTACTCCAGTCTTCAGTGTCACATGATCCTTCAGAAATCATTCTAATATGATGATTTGCTGCTCAAGAAACATTTATGATTATTATCAATGATAATATTTTTGTGGAAACCGTGAAACATTTTTTTCAGGATTATTTCTTTAATAGAAAGTTCAAAAAGAACAATATTTATTTGAAATAGAAATCTTTTGTAACATTTTAAATGTCTTTACTGTCACTGTTGATCACTTGTAAAGCATCCTTGTTAAATAAAATGATTAATTTCGTTCAAATTCTCTGAAAAGAATGTGATTTGGTCAAATGAGATAGAAGTGCTAAACTCAGTCTTTTTTCTTTATGAATATCTGAGATTGAACCAAGAAACTTGTCATTGCTCTTGAAAGCACCAGTCAATTAGAAACTCAAAACGGGGGAAAAAAGGGAATTTTATACATTCAGGTTTGGATAGTATAGTGGCTCAGTGAGAAAATCTGTGTGTGATTGCATGCTCTTGACTGAATGTATGTGTGTGTGTTCAAGTACAAACCCTGTGGACAACATATGGATGTGTGAACTTTTAAGATACTGTTGGCAAACCGCAAGCTTCCTTCCACACTACAACCGTTAGGATCCGTGTGTATGTGTGTATGTGGATGTGGGGGCTGGAGGCAGGAACGAGACTCGCCGCTTAAAATAGAGAATAGGAGAATCTGCAGTTGAGATCTCGTGGATGTGAATGAGAATGTAGAAATCTCCTAAACCGCAGACTGTCTCCATTCACAAAGAACTTCTCATGCTGTTAAAGGGCCATGTCAAAAAATAAAAGTCGGTTATTGTTGGCTCACCTTCATAACAAAACAAATCCAATGAATATTTCAAGCCATATGATATCTTGGTGAAAATTGGATTTATCTTTAAGTTTGTTCCTCACACAAAGCTATTGTATGACTTCAGAGGACTCGGAATATTGTGCATGAGTCATATGGACTATACTTTTATGATACTTTTATGGTTCTTTTCATGCAGTAACAGTAAACTTTCGTTGTAAAAAAAAAAAAAGAAAGTCATACGGGTTTAGAATGACAGAAATTCAGAACAGTAAAATTCTATGACCATTTTGAAAAATATTTAGCTTGATGAACACAAATAGACAAGACCTTCGAAACAAAGATGAACAGCTTTTGGTGGCATGAATCAACTTTTTTTCTAGAAGAACGTACAGAGAAAAAGTATGTTGTGTAGTTTTACTCTCAAAATACACGACCGTTCTCAAAATACACTTCTGTTTGGGGTCAGAAAGATTTTTTTTTTTTGGAAGAACGATACTTTAACTTCAGCAAAAACACGTTAAATTGTTTAAAAGTAACCGTAAAGATAATTAAAATGTTACAAGATTTCTATTTCAAATAAATGCTGTTCTTTTAAACGTTCTATTTCCTGAACTGTTTGCAACATTGATAATAATCAGAAATGTTTCTTGAGCAGCAAATCATCATATTAGAATGATTTCTGAAGGATCATGTGACACTGAAGACTGGAGTAATGATGCTGAAATACACAGGAATCACAGGAATAAATTACATTTTAACAAAATAAATTGTAATATTTTAAAAATCAAAATGCAGACTTGGTGAGCATACTTCTGTAAAAAAAGAAATTCAAAAATTATTACAGACAAACTTTTGAACAGTAGTGTAACTATGTATAAAAATGTGTCTGAATGTGAACGATATATAATTTCACAAAGCTTGTAAAAAAAAAAAGGATTTCGCCCCAAAAGAACGCTTATTTTTACGACAAAACCATATTCTACTTACTGTAATGTAAAAATAAAATGAATAAATGACATTTTTCAAATGAAAATTATTTATACATTATAATGGTACACTGTTAAAAAAATGGGTTGTTTTGCTGATTTAAATAATATATTTTTTATAATATTAATTAAAAACAATTAAATTAAAATAATGAAAATTCGGCTTGACAATTTTTTACGGAATTAGCATGAATAAACTGTCACACTGAAAAATATCTTAAAGGTATAATTCACCCAAAAGTCTTAAAAGTCTTGTTTTGTGTTCTGCAGCAGAAGCCGGTTTAGAACAAGGGAGAGGGTTTTTTCTGAGTGAAATTTAAATTGGGCTTGTTTTAATGAATTCACCCATAATTCTCCTGAAAGTGTGTGTGTGTGTGCATGTGTATGGGTGTGTGTATGGGCGTGTGTGTGTATGGGCGTGTGTGGGTGTGTGTGTCTGTGCGTGCATGTGTATGTGCGTGTGTGTATGGGCGTGCGTGTGTGTGTGTGCGCGTGTGTGTGCGTGTGTGTGTGTGTGTGTGTGTGTGTGTGTGTGTGGGTGTGGGTGTGGGTGTGCGTGTGTGTGTTGTTGTCGTTATACTTCTTTCCTCCCAGCAGCAGTGGGTGTCGTGGCAGGATGTGGGTACGAGTGGCACAGAGAAAGAGACACAGTCTGATACTCTACATAGGAAAGCAAGTACTCAGAAACACGGTTCACGTTGAAAGAGTTGCGTTTCGTAAGAGATGACAAAGAGATGCACAGATGTGATCTTGCTTGCTCTCGCCGTTTCTCCCTCTCTTTCTAACAACAGGCCTGAGGCCACCTGCAGCTGAAACGCTGAACCTATGTCTGATACGTTAATGCACACACTTGCTGAATGTATATGATCATTTAAGTAAGGCAAACATCAATTGCTCATACTTGGTGATTTAAACAAACCCCAAACACTAGGAATTAAAAGAATGTGCAGTTGTGAAAAGTGCTAAAGTGATCAGACTTTTCACAATTTTTTGATGATAAAACAGGTGAAAAAAATACAACATACTTACAATGAAGTAACAACCCAGATTACCACAGCAACCACTTAGCAATTCGCTAGCAACCAGCCAGAACCAGTGTTATTTTAGTTAGTATTATAGTATTTATTCATATTTTGAGATATATATACAGTATATATATATAGCCATATATATAACTTTTATTTTTATATTTTCAGTTTTAGTTTAATTTTAGTTTAAAGCTGCAATCCGTAGTTTTTCCTCTTTGTCGCCATTCTGTTTGAAATCTGCAATTGCAGTCATTCGCGGAATAACTTTACGTGAGTTGTGCCTCGGCACGGCACAGCGCGGATGAATCCAATGTTTGAGGAGAATGTGCAAATATAGCCTACTAGCCGAGACTCCTTCTTTATGTGTACAGATGTGACGTAATGACGCAAAGACATGCTCGAATCTCCCGCGGAAATCCACCAGTACCACTGGAATTAAAAACATTATTACAAGCTTACCGTTTAGAATCGAGCTACGGCAAGCAGATAGCGTTGAACACTGGCTGGTTATGTACTTGCTCACACATTTATTTGGAATAATTTTTAACCCAAAAATGTTACGGCTTTAAGTATTAGTACTTTTGTCATGTGCTCTTGTTATTTTTATTACAATTTTAGTCTAATTTATACTTTAACTTAAACATATTTCAGCCAGTTGCCAATGCAACATTTATTTGCACCAATTCTTGTATTTTTGTATTTCGTTTTTTTTTTTTTTTCATCTACTAATTTCAGATTTTTTTCATTCTGAAACTTAGTTTAATTAATATATTTAGTTTGAAAACATTTCAGAATATTTTAGAAGAATAATGTGTAGTTTTCTTGTATTAAACTGTTTTTTACTGTAGTTCTTGCTAAATTTTTAATTAAAATATATACACTCACCTAAAGGATTATTAGGAACACCATACTAATACTGTGTTTGACCCCCTTTCGCCTTCAGAACTGCCTTAATTCTACGTGGCATTGATTCAACAAGGTGCTGAAAGCATTCTTTAGAAATGTTGGCCCATATTGATAGGATAGCATCTTGCAGTTGATGGAGATTTGTGGGATGCACATCTAGGGCACGAAGCTCCCGTTCCACCACATCCCAAAGATGCTCTATTGGGTTGAGATCTGGAGACTGTGGGGGCCATTTTAGTACAGTGAACTCATTGTCATGTTCAAGAAACCAATTTGAAATTATTCGAGCTTTGTGACATGGTGCATTATCCTGCTGGAAGTAGCCATCAGAGGATGGGTACATGGTGGCCATAAAGGGATGGACATGGTCAGAAACAATGCTCAGGTAGGCCGTGGCATTTAAACGATGCCCAATTGGCACTAAGGGGC